TTTTTTTGTTTTATTTGCAAATATATAGGATCAAAGGTTGGTAGTGGTGGTGTAGCTGGATATTCAGAAACAAATGTAGATCGACGTGAACGTCTCCGAAAACTTGCATTGGAAACAATTGATCTGAATAAGGATCCATATTTTATGAAAAATCATCTTGGTTCTTATGAGTGTAAACTTTGTTTAACTTTACACACTAATGAGGGCAGTTATCTTGCTCACACTCAAGGTAAAAAACATCAAACAAATCTTGCTCGTAGAGCTGCACATGAAGCAAAAGAAAACAACAATATACAACCTGCCTTACAAAATCAACCAAAATCCAAATAAAGAAAAATTTAGCAAAAATCAGTAGACCAGGTTACAAAGTGACAAAAGTGAGAGATTTAATCACCAGACAACTTGGTTTATTGTTCCAAATTCAGTACCCTGAAATTGGATTGGATGTTATACCTCGTCATCGATTCATGTCAGCTTATGAACAAAGAGTTGAGCCACCAAACAAAGCACATCAATATTTGCTTTTTGCTGCTGAACCATATGAGACAATTTCGTTTAAAGTTCAAAGTAAAGAAGTTGATAAGGGCGAAGGAAAATTCTTTACACACTGGGATCCTGATTCAAAACAGTTTTCATTACAATTCTTTTTCAAGAATGATAGACCAGGAATGTACTCTGAAGGTGTTCCACCTGGAATGGAAAGACCTCCTATTGCGAATCCATTAAATCCATTTAATGCACCAACTATGCGTGGACCTACTTATGTATAGCTATTGTGGTAATAACATGATTGATTTATACTTTTTTATATATCATAATTATAAACACAAATCAATATAATCAATTAATAAATTTGTATTCTTTTTTTTTTTCTTAATTTGAAAATAAAATTAACAATGAAGATTTTTTAATAGAAATATATATATATACATATATATATATATTCAAGTCTATATTAAGAATGTTTTTATTGACAAGAAAGTATTCTTTTTGAATTAAAAAAAACATGTGCATATCAACAAAATATTGAATTTTCATAATGAATGCATTTTTC